CCCTTCACCGAAGACACCTAAAGCCAATGGTTGATGGGACGATGTACACTATGCCTTTGTATGATGTTTTGATTCAGGAGGACCCTTCACTGAAGATACCTAAAGCTAATGATGATGAGGATGAGGTACACCATGCCTTTGTATGATGTAGTATTCAGAGGACCCTTCACTGAAGACACCTAAAGCCAATGGTTGCTGGGATGAGTACACCATGTCTTTGTATGATGTAGTTTTCAGAGGACCCTTCACTGAAGACACCTAAAGCCAATGGTTGCTAGGATGATGTACACCATGTCTTTGTATGATGTAGTTTCAGAGGACCCTTCACTGAAGACACCTAAAGCCAATGGTTGATGGGATGAGGAACACCATGTCTTTGTATGGCGTAGTATTCAGAGGACCCTTCACTGAAGACACCTAAAGCCAATGGTTGATGGGACAAGGTACACCATGTCTTTGTATGACGTAGTATTCAGAGGACCCTTCACTGAAGACACCTAAAGCCATTGGTTGATGGGACAAGGTACACCATGCCTTTGTATGATATAGTATTCGAGGACCCTTCACTGAAGACACCTAAAGCCAATGGTTGATGGGATGAGGAACACCATGTCTTTGTATGATGTAGTTTTCAGAGGACCTTCACTGAAGACACCTAAAGCCAATAGTTGATGGGATGAGGAACACCATGTCTTTGTATGATGTAGTTTTGACAGGACCCTTCACTGGTGACACCTAAACTCAACATCTGAAGGGGGGTACTCATACATTTGGCCTTGTAGTGTAGTCACTGCCCTACCCTTGTCCTTTTTTTTTCCCAAGGCTTTCCTATAGAACTCGTCTTTTTTTTTTTGTAAAGCCCTGCAGTGCATCATACCATAAATGCCTTCAAACAAGAGCAGCAAAGGTGTCGTCTACGAGTGACGACGTTATTTAGTATTTTTTCCTCCCGCTTTGAACCTTCTCTGAAAAATATTCAGCAAACAACAGTCAAGAGTACATTTCCTGCAACCTCTAAATTCCATTGTAAAGGTTACATCCCAGGTAGTGCAGAAGAAGAGAGTCAAAGGAGTGAGTGTTGAGGAATGGGAATGGGGAGGGGGAAGACATGGACAAAGGCAGGAGGAGGAGGAGAAGAGAGGAAGGCAGACAGAAATAGCAGAAAGGGAGTCTGGCACATATGCAGCTAACAGAGGAGAGAGGTTACATGCAGCTTGCTGAATAATTCCAGCCAAAACATAATTAAAATGCAGACAGGAATGGATCCACATCAAACAGAGCTCAGAACAGAGAACCGTAGCACAGCGCTTGCTTGCCACCTATAGTCCTCTTCCAGGATCAGACCCGGCCATGATATAATCCAGACTGTAATCGCAGGGGTGCAGCTGCACCGTGGAATTTTTTTTTTCTGGGGGGGAACTCTTGGCTATGGGCGGAGTGTTGAAACGTCCTCGTAATGAGAAAACGAGCCGGTCTTTAACTCTTTTTTTTTCACCCTCGTCAAAAGTCCCCCCTCTTTTTTTTTTGGTAGACCGTTGGGTCTACAAATGGCCTCTTCAGGCTTATTTAGCCAAAAAGAAAAAGAAAAAGGTTTTGGTTTCAAGACGTAAGAAAGTGACCGGATCTCCATTTTAATCCGGAACGCCTATAACAAAACACAAAAGCCAGGTTTATTCAAACCAGACGGAGGCCTCCTGATTGAAAACCGTTGGGCTTCGGGAGCGGAGGTCTCCCAGTGTGTGGATGGAGGGGTAAGAATTGCGTTCTGATTTGGCAAAACTCACAGGCGCATTCTTGGAAGCTTGAGGGGGAGGCTTGCGATGGGACGTGATTTCTTTTCTTTTCTTTTTTTTTTTTGAGTTTGTACTTTGTAGCCATAAAGAAAACGAATATATTGCGGCTGGGGGTCGGTTTAGATTCACTCGAAGTAAGGGGGTTCGGGCCAGGGGCTGAATGACCATTTGGAAACGGGGGGGTTGCAGGACGAGTCTGACAACCAGAGAGCGTAATGAAAACAAACTGTCAGATCCGCCATACAAGCAGAGCAGATAGTGGGGAGCCTTGGTGCTTTCTTCACCAAATACCTGCTTGGAGTCTAGACCTCTGAGGGCAACTGGGCCATGGAGAGCACAGAATGACCTGCTGGCCATGGAGAGCGCAGAATGACCTGCTGGCCATGGAGAGCACAGAAGGACCTGCTGGCCATGAAGAGCATAGAAGGACCTTCTGGCCATGGAGATCACAGAATGACCTGCTGGCCATGGAGAGCGCAGAAGGACCTGGCCATGGAATCACAGAATGACCTGAGGCCAGCACAGAATGACCTGCTGGCCATGGAGAGCACAGAAGGACCTGCTGGCCATGAAGAGCATAGAAGGACCTTCTGGCCATGGAGATCACAGAATGACCTGCTGGCCATGGAGAGCGCAGAAGGACCTTCTGGCCATGGAGAGCACAGAAGGACCTTCTGGCCATGGAGAGCGCAGAAGGACCTGCTGGCCATGAAGAGCATAGAAGCACTGCCCGAGGGCCCAGGCTCAGTAGGGGGCCCCATGAGATGCCCCTGGTACCTTTTTCATAGGCTTTTTTGAGTTTGGGCAAGGACACAGGGGCCCCGTGATCCCCTATTGCCCAGAAGCCCATGAGTTGTCAGTCCGCCCCTGGTTCGGGCAATCTAAAAAGATAAGCTTTTTTTTCCCCCCTTTTTTTCAGAAATTGCTTTAACCACCTCCCGCCCACCATATAGTCCAATGATGGCGCAAGGCGGTTCTCTCGTTCTGGGAGGGCGTCATATGACGTCCTCCCATTCTCACCGTGCATGCGCGGCTCAGGGAGTGCGCAGAGCGGCGATCGGCGGGGCGCTGTGTCCCCCGGACACAGCGGATCACCGATCTACGGAAAGAGCCGAAGATGTCGGCTCGGTCATGTGATCAGCTGTGTCCAATCACAGCTGATCGCATGTAAACAGGGAAATGACGGTTATCGGCATTTCTCTCCCCACGAGCTTTCACGCTGACAGAGGAGAGGAGCGGAGAGCCGGTAATCGGCATTCCTCAGAGGGGACATGTACACTGATCACCAGGGCACTGATGATCAGTGTGGCCCCAGAAGTGCCACCTGTCAATGTCTATCAGTTTCAGCAGTCAGTGCTCATCAGTGCCACATCAATACCACATAACAGTGCCCTTCTGAGCTGCCTTTCAGTGTCACCCATCAGTGCCAGTCAGTGCCACCTATCAATGCCAATCAATGCCACCTATCAGTGCCCGTCAGTGCCGCCTATCAGTGTGCATCAGTGCCGCCTATCAGTGCCCGTCAGTTGCCGCCTATCAGTGCCAGTCAGTGCCGCCTATCAGTGCCAGTCAGTGCCACCTATCAGTGTGCATCAGTGTCGCCTATCAGTGCCAGTCAGTGCCGCCTATCAGTGCCAGTCAGTGCCGCCTATCAGTGTGCATCAGTGCCGCCTATTAGTGCCAGTCAGTGCCATATATCAGTGCCAGTCAGTGCCGCCTATCAGTGCCAGTCCAGTGCCACCTATCAGTGTGCATCAGTGCCACCTATCAGTGCCAGTCAGTGCCATATATCAGTGCTGCTTTTCAATGACCATCAGTGCCCATACCAGTGCCTCTTATCAGTGCCCATCAGAGCCACCCATCAGTGCCCATCACTGCAGCCTCATTAGCGCACATCAGTGAAGGAGAAAAATCACTTTTTTACAAAATTTTACAACAAAAACTAACAAATAAACGTTTTTTTCAAAATTTTCAGTGGTTTTTGGTTTGTTTAAAAATAAAAAAATCCCAGAGGTTATTAAATAACCAAAATAAAGCTCTATCTGTCACAAAAAAATGATAAAAATGTCATATGGGTGCAGTGTTGCATGACCGCGCAATTGTCACTCAAAGTGTGACAGCGCTGAAAGCTGGAAATTGGCCTGGACTGGAAGGGGGTAGAAGTGTCCCTGTAGGCAGGAAGGGGGTAGAAGTGCCTGTGGGCAGGAAGGGGGTAGAAGTGTCCCGGTTAGGCAAAAAAGAAGTGTCAAAAGACCCATTAGGTGTGAGATTGGTCCTGTGGGCAGGGGGGGTAGAAGTGCCCTGTGGGCAGGAAGGGGGTAGAAGTGCCCTGTAGGCAGGAAGGGGGTAGAAGTGCCCGGTAGGCAAAGGGGGTACCAGACCCTGTAGGCAGGAAGGGGGTAGCTGTCCTGAAGGCACGGAAGGGGGTAAAAGTGCAGGCAGGGGGTAGAGAGGCGGGACAGTGCCCTTATAGGAAGGGGTTGCATATGTATTACAAGTGTTTGGGTCAAAAAAAGTACACTATGTTGCAGGAAGGGGGTAGAAGTGTCCCCGCCCTCCCAGGATCAGGTGATTCAGGTGTTCCAATCCAAAAGACCCATATCAGGTGTGATTCAGGGGTGAAGGGTCCAATCCAAAATCCCCATATCAATGTTTCAGGTGTTCCCGGGAAAAAAAAACCCTCCATATCATGTGATTCAGGTTTTCCAATCCCCTCCCAATCAAGTGATTCAGGTGTTCCAATCCCCTCCATATCATGTGATTCAGGTGTTCCAATCCCCTCCCAATCATGTGATTCAGGTGTTCCAATCCCCTCCCATATCATGTGATTCAGGTGTTCCAATCCCCTCCCAATCATGTGATTCAGGTGTTCCAATCCCCTCCAATCATGTGATTCAGGTGTTCCAATCCCCTCCCATATCATGTGATTCAGGTGTTCCAATCCTCTCCAATCATGTGATTCAGGTGTTCCAATCCCCTCCCATATCATGTGATTCAGGTTTTCCAATCCCCTCCATATCATGTGATTCAGGTGTTCCAATCCCTCCATATCATGTGATTCAGGTGTTCCAATCCCCTCCCAATCATGTGATTCAGGTGTTCCAATCCCCTCCATATCATGTGATTCAGGTGTTCCAATCCCTCCCATATCATGTGATTCAGGTGTTCCAATCCCCTCCCAATCATGTGATTCAGGTTGTTCCAATCCCCTCCATATCATGTGATTCAGGTGTTCCAATCCCCTCCATATCATGTGATTCAGGTGTTCCAATCCCCTCCCAATCATGTGATTCAGGTGTTCCAATCCCCTCCATATCATGTGATTCAGGTGTTCCAATCCCCTCCCAATCATGTGATTCAGGTGTTCCAATCCCCTCCATATCATGTGATTCAGGTGTTCCAATCCCCTCCAATCATGTGATTCAGGTGTTCCAATCCCCTCCATATCATGTGATTCAGGTGTTCCAATCCCCTCCATATCATGTGATTCAGGTGTTCCAATCCCCTCCCATATCATGTGATTCAGGTGTTCCAATCCCCTCCATATCATGTGATTCAGGTGTTCCAATCCCCTCCCAATCATGTGATTCAGGTGTTCCAATCCCCTCCATATCATGTGATTCAGGTGTTCCAATCCTCTCCCAATCATGTGATTCAGGTGTTCCAATCCCCTCCCAATCATGTGATTCAGGTGTTCCAATCCCCTCCATATCATGTGATTCAGGTGTTCCAATCCCCTCCATATCATGTGATTCAGGTGTTCCAATCCCCTCCCAATCATGTGATTCAGGTGTTCCAATCCCCTCCCAATCATGTGATTCAGGTGTTCCAATCCCCTCCCAATCATGTGATTCAGGTGTTCCAATCCCCTCCAATCATGTGATTCAGGTGTTCCAATCCCCTCCCAATCATGTGATTCAGGTGTTCCAATCCCCTCCCAATCATGTGATTCAGGTGTTCCAATCCCCTCCATATCATGTGATTCAGGTGTTCCAATCCCCTCCCAATCATGTGATTCAGGTGTTCCAATCCCTCCCAATCATGTGATTCAGGTGTTCCAATCCCCTCCCAATCATGTGATTCAGGTGTTCCAATCCCCTCCCAATCATGTGATTCAGGTGTTCCAATCCCCTCCATATCATGTGATTCAGGTGTTCCAATCCCCTCCATATCATGTGATTCAGGTGTTCCAATCCCCTCCATATCATGTGATTCAGGTGTTCCAATCCCCTCCCAATCATGTGATTCAGGTGTTCCAATCCCCTCCCAATCATGTGATTCAGGCGTTCCAATCCCCTCCCAATCATGTGATTCAGGTGTTCCAATCCCTCCATATCATGTGATTCAGGTGTTCCAATCCCCTCCATATCATGTGATTCAGGTGTTCCAATCCCCTCCATGGACACAGGTGTATACAATCAAGCCCCTAGGCATGCAGACTGCTTCTACAAACATTGGTGAAAGAATGGGTCGCTCTCAGGAGCTCAGTGACTCCAAGCGTGGTCCCGTGATAGGTGGCCACCTGGGCAATAAGTCCATCCGTGACATTTCCTGGCTACTAAATATTCCACACTCAACTGTTAGTGGGATTATAACAAAGTGGAAGCCACTGGGAACAACAGCCACTCAGCCACCAAGTGGTAGGCCACGTCACATGACAGGGCGGGGTCAGCGCATGCTGAAGCGCACAGTGCGCAGAAGTCGCCAACTGTCTGCAGAGTCAATAGCTAAAGACCTCCAAACTTGGTGTGGCCTTCAGATGAGCCCAACAACAGTGCGTAGAGAGCTTCATGGAATGGGTTTCCATGGCCGAGCAGCTGCATCCAAGACTTCCATCACCAAGTGCAATGCAAAGCATCGGATGCCGTGGTGTAAAGCACGCCGCCACTGGACTCTAGAGCAGAGGAGGCGTGTTCTCTGGAGTGACCAATCACGCTTTTCTGTCTGGCAATCCGAAGACCGGGTCTGGGTTTGGCGGTGGCCAGGAGAATGGTACTTCCCTGACTGCATTGTGTCAAGTGTAAAGTTTGGTGGAGGGGGGATTATGGTGTGGGGGTGTTTTTCAGGGGTTGGGCTTGGCCTCCTAGTTCCAGTGAAGGGACGACATTTTGGACAATTTCATGCTCCCAACCTTGTGGGAAGAGTTTGGGGATGGCCCCTTCCTGTTCAACATGACTGCCACACAGTGCACAAAGCAAGGTCCATAAAGACATGGAGGAGCCAGTTTGGGGTGGAGGAACTTGACTGGCCTGCACAGAGTCCTGACCTCAACCCCATAGAACACCTTTGGGATGAATTAGAGCGGAGACTGCGAGCCAGGCCTCCCCCGGGACACATCCCCCTCCCCCGACATCAGTGCCTGACCTGACAAATGTGCTTCTGGAAGAATGGTCCAACCTTCCCATAGACACCCTCCTAAACCTTGTGGACGGCCTTCCCAGAAGAGTTGAAGCTGTTATAGCTGCAAAGGGCGAGGCCAAACTCAATATTGAACCCCACGGACTAAGACTGGGGGGCCATAAAGGTTATGTGTGTGGAAAGGGCGGGGCCAACTCAATATTGAACCCCACGGAGTAAGACTGGGGGGCCAATAAAGGTCATGTGTGTGGGGAAGGGCGGGGCCAACTCAATATTGAACCCCACGGACTAAGACTGGGGGGCCATTAAAGGTCATGTGTGTGGAAAGGGCGGGGCCAACTCAATATTGAACCGTACGGACTAAGACTGGGGGGCCATTAAAGGTCATGTGCGTGGAAAGGGCGGGGCCCAATATTGAACCCTACGGACTAAGACTGTGGCCATTAAAGGTCAAGTGTGTGGAAAGGGCGGGGCCAACTCAATATTGAACCCTACGGACTAAGACTGGGAGGCCATTAAGGTCAGTGTGCATGGGAAAGGGCGGGGCCAACTCAATATTGAACCCTACGGACTAAGACTGGGGGGCCATTAAAGGTCATGTGTGTGGGAAGGGCGGGGGAACCCTACGGACTAAGACTGGGGGGCAATATTAAATGTAAGGTAGAATGAGAAAAACAATCAAAATAACCCTCACATCTGGTGAGGGTTAAAGGTCAGTGCATGGGTCAAGGCACGCAACTTCCATATGATAACTGTAAGGTAGAAAGAGAAAACAATCCTCAAATAATTCATCTGGTATTGGTTGGGTCAAGCTCTCGATCACTGTCTTGGATTGGTCCGATGTCTTGAGTCCTGAGTCCGGGGGGCTCGCTGAGAGGCTGAGCCAGGCGCCGCTTCAGACTCTGGAGCAGATCCCAACGGGATCTTTCCCCAGCCTGGACCGGCTCAGTGATTTCAGCCGCCAGCAGGCTTCGGCCCGCTGTCACAGGTCACAGGAGTGTAGAACCAACTGCACTCCTGTGATCCACAGAAGAGCTTTGGCTGTACTTCTCCTTTAAGGTTTGGCATGTTGGGTGTCTATTTACTCGGTACAATCTCATCTTTTATATTTTACCCCCCACAAATGTGGCCAGTGCATTGGTGTGCCCTAAAATTAACTTTTTTGTGTCTTTTATTGAAATTTTGAGCTTCAGAAACCGTGTGGCATCAAGAAAATTGAACTGCTATTTTATTCTCTAGGGTCTCTGCTTTCGGGAAATATCTATTATTTTTTTTACGTCATCCTCAGGCCTAAAATTATTATTTTTTTTAAACGTGTGTGTAAACCCCCTCCCCCCCCCCAAAAAAAAAGGCAAAATCGGCTCAATCAGGGAAGGGGTTAAAAGCATTCAAAGTTGTCGTGAGATTTCAGCCATTGGGTTGACGTCTGCTTTCCCGTGAACGTTCAAGCCTTCAGCTTCCACAACTCTTTGCGAGAAGAACAACCGGCTCGGCCGGGAACCATAGAAAGGACAGTCCTGAGGAACTGCAGGATGACATCGCCGCCAGGGACCGAGCTCGGCGAAAGTGCGTGCGTTTTAAAGCCCAGCAGAGCCCTGGATGTGCTAAGGAGAACCAGCTGAGAGCCTCTCGCTAATGAGGAGCGTCGGCAACGTGCTGACCCCACAAAGTTTACAGGAAATAACTGAACAAGCTCTTTTTTTTTTTTTTTTGGCCGAGGAGTTATTGTTGTGCAAACTCTCGGCAGGTTATTGGGGTCTCGAGGTTTTCCAGGTGGATGCTGTATTCGGTCTAGCACAGGCAGGTGGCGGGACGGGGGGGGGGTGTCCGGCGGGAGATATATTGACGACGTGCAGAAAGGGGAAGATATTACACATAATTATTAACAGGAAGGCGAGACCAACCGCGATATTAAAATACACGACATAAAAAGAATGAAGAAAAAAAAAAACGCCTCCACAAGGAGGACGATCTAACGGGTCACTTGTAGAAGGAGAAGAATCGCAAGAACAGCTGAACAGTGCTGGGGACATATACTGTATTTGAAATGCTACAATTTTGGCCACATTCAATATATTTCAAAAATATATTTCAAAATATATACAAAGTGTATGTTGAGATGTTGCTTTTTATATGTTAAAAAAAAATGAAGAATATTTTTTAAAATACATTTTCAAATATATGTCTTTGAAAATCCATTTAATCTACATTTCTGGAATGCATTTACGAGCAGTTAAAATTGCTTTTTTTATATGTTAAAAATAGGTTAAAGAATATATTTTTTATATTTATATTTTTATAAATATAATATATTATATTTACATTTAAATATATATATATATATATATATATATATATATATATATATATATATAAAAAGTATATGTTGAGATGTTGCTCTTTATATGTTAAAAAAATTAAGAATATTTTTTAAAATACATTTTCAAATATATGTCTTTGTAAATCCATTATATGGATATGGATATATATATATATATATATATATATATATATATATATTTATATGTGTCTATATGGATTTATATATGTCTTTGAAAATCCATTTTACCTACATTTCTGGAATGCATTTACGAGCAGTTAAAATTACTTTTTTTATATGTTAAAAATAAGTTAAAGAATATATTTTTTATATTTATATTTTTATAAATATAATATAATATTATATTTATATTTAAGTATATATATATATATATATATATATATATATATATATATATATATATATATATATATATATATATATATATATATTTTATATAAAGTATATGTTGAGATGTTGCTCTTTATATGTTAAAAAAAATGAAGAATATTTTTTAAAATACATTTTCAAATATATGTCTTTGAAAAACCATTATATGGATTTATATGTGTCATATATATATATATATATATATATATATATATATATATATATATATATATATATATTTTTTTTTTTTTTTTATATATATTTATATGTGTCTATATGGATTTATATATGTCTTTAAAGATCCATTTAATCTACATTTCTGGAATGCATGTACAAGCAGTTAAAATTACTTTTTTTATATGTTAAAAATAAGTTGAAGAATATATTTTTTATATTTATATTTTTATAAATATAATATTATATTTATATTTAAGTATATTTTTAAAATATATATACAGTATATATATATATATATATATATGTATATATATATATATACACACAAAGGACATAAATATATTTAGAAAATATATTTAAATTTAAATTTTTTTTTAGAACACATGTTAAAATATATTAGCGTAGGCCAATATATTAAAAATATATGTTACATATATATTTCCTTTTTATAATTATATGAGAAATATATTTCTCTTCCATGTGGGTATCCGGCGGGCAGGGCTGAACGCTTTTACCCATTTGCGATTTTTGAGGCGGCAGGTGTTTAACCGGAACACCACGAGCGCAGAGAAACCACCTTCGTATCGCACTAAACATCCACGTGGAAAAAAAAAAAATAGATTTTAAATATATATTAAAAATATTCTTCCCAAAATATATTGACATATATTTGAAATGCTACAATTTTGGACGCATTCAA